TAACGTGGGTGCCGAAGACGATGATGATATGGAAAATGAGGAAGGAGAGGATGTGGAAGGGAGTGGAGAAGCGGAACAGAGGGAAGAAGGGACTGCTCTCATCACCTCTACGAAGCTTCCTGGTATCCCTCCACCATCCATTTTCGATGCCCTTTTTGCTGAATCAGGGAAGACTCAAAATACGATGGAAACTATCGAGAAAAATGTAACTAATCCTCCTTCCATTGTGAGCATATTGCCTTCAGTGAAATGTTTCTAGCCTTTGCGCTTATTTTTTTTCTCTACAGTCCCATTATTGCCAATTTTCACCGTAATACTGAGTTATAGAGTTTAGTAACACAAATCCGTATGGAATCTTTGTGTCAGAATCTGCGGATTCTACCCATTTCTTCTCGTCATATTGTAAGGTGCACACTGGCATGCAAATCTGACGGTAGCTTCCACACCGAAGACCAAAGAGGTTGGTAACTGAAGTGATTGTGATAGGATTGCAAATTGCTGCCATGAGACTTGATTTGTGAGCCAATAACAAGGCTCACTTAGCGGCACATGGGCTCCCATTGCTTTAGGCGTTCTTAATGAATACTCTTAGACCCAGTCATGCTATTGATAGTCATTGAGGTGAAAGCTAACATTCAGTGCTTCTTGGTTGTTCTAGGAGGCTCCACGGGAAATCGGCCAAACGGCACCCGCTCCTTCCAACACCCCGGCAGTTGGTGACTCAGGTGGTTCCTCGATGGATCTCTTCAAATCTATTTTCGCCTCAGATGAAGAAATTGAGGATGTAGATGATGCTGAAAATGAGGATATGCCGCCACCACCTTCGTCTCCAGAGGTTCTATCTTCGATGACGTCCTTAGCTCACGATAAAGACAACACCGACGGCAACACTGCTTATAAAGATGATGCTGTTAGAGAGGCGCCCATTTCTCCGCCTCATCCTGAACCAGCTCTTCCTGACTTGTCTGTGCATAAGCTATTCAAGCATCTGTTCAACCCTGAACTAGATAGTGGTAGGTGGTGGTCGCTTTACTTCAAACTTTAACTCTTGCTCTCATGCAAATGGTTAAATGGATTTAATCCAACCAGGAAGCGGGGCATTTTCTCATTTCGGCAAGATGGTTGCCAAATCAATTAATAGTAATACCCTTCGTAGATTTTTTTTCAAATTTATCTCACTAAAGGTACTATAGAACTCAGACATTGTGGTTTATTGGTAAGTCTACAGAAAGGTAAGTCAAGCACGATTCGTCCCTCCATTCTTGTCAGAAGGTAATATGAGCCTTTCAAGCTACTTTGCTCTAGGGGCTTTGTCGATGCAAGCCTCCAGCTAAGAATTGGCTTTCATCTTCCGTAAAATTCGGAGGCAACCTTTTAATGGTCATGGTCTGTATTTCCACTACTGCAATTCGATAGATTTGAAAGTACCCGTGATAAAAGAGAAATCCTCGACAATTTGATTCATCTATTGGCTTTCTTTCGGTTGGTAATCAGTCATTCCAACCAGGCACAATCCTGTATTAAATACTTTTAAAGCAGTCCACGTTATCAACGTGTAAACCGAACTCCAAG